CATTTTTTCATGTATCTGCTACCATAACCCAGTATTGGAGACTGGGTAATTTATAAAGGACAGAAATTAATTTCTCAAGCTTCTGAGGGCAGTGGTGGATTCCCTGTCTGATGAAGACACCATCTCTGCTTTCCGAATGGAGCAGCATTGCTGTATTCTCTGGAGAGCTCACATATCATGTTCTCACACAGCTGGAGGAGGCGCGGGCTACTTTCCTCAACTGTTTTGTAAGGCAATAATCTATTCCTGAGCCTGGAGCCCCGCAGTCTGATGATTCCCCCAAAGGCTCCCCAGAATAAGGTTTCAACAGAAATTTTAGAGGGGACACATTCAAACTATACCAGGGTCCTCTGCCCATTTTTTTCTATAGGGTTATATGTTTTCTTACTGTTAAATTAAGTTCCTTAGATGTTTTGGATGTCAGCCTCTTATCTGAAAATAATTAAGTCTTAAGGGACAGCTGAAATTTTTCTTATCTCCAAAGGTCTTACCAATTTAAATATTTTGACATTATAACCAAAATTTCCATGTGTCTAATAATTTTAATATCACTTTTAAATTATCACTTACCATTTTAAAAGACTTGATGAGTTTATACCGTTTCCTTTCCCTGCACCTTTTCTTTCAACATAGATACGTTTCTCTGCCCCTTCTGACATCCCTTTTGTCAGAATGGTCTTGTCTGGATAGATGTGTTCATGCATCCCTGAGACGTGCGGAAGCCCACACAAAGGGGAGGGCTCTTGCTGTTTCATCCTTCTTCATTGTGTTAGCACAAGTTTAACTGTCCTGAGTATGAAAAGACAGCTTGTCTCTGTGGCTGATGCGTCACTTCTGTTTTTGCCATCAGGTTTCTGTCAAGAAAAGTCTTTTATCTCCTTTACCTTGGGATTCTATTGTTGGAATAGTTTTCTGTGGTTTTACCTGTCTGTGACCATAGGGTTGATTTTTATTTTTTATTTCTTTCTAGTACTGGGGATAGAACTCAGGACCTTGCGTTTGTGTGCTGCTGACCTATCTCCCTGGCCCCTACTTTGTTTTTATTTCACAGGTCAAAATAAGTAGAGTTAAGATGTAATTTGATAATGCTTCATATTTGGGTTTTGTTTTTTTTTTTTTTTTGACTCTTGCTTCAGGAACATAGTAAAATAGGACTGAAACATTGAATGTTGAACAGATTGAGCATTTGTTTGACCTGTTACTTCATAGAAACACTCTAATGACCGTCCACCCCTGTGCTGCTGATATTCGGGTTTATAAAAATTTATACTTATAAAATATTTAGGTTTATTAAACATAGTTGAGTAACTAGCCCTGGTACAGGAAGGAAAATGACAAGTGTAATATTCTGTGTGTGTCTTCTCATCAAGTTTTATTGATAACATTTTAGATATACATGATGATCACATTCATCATAATTTGTGCTTGTACATGATGTAACTTGATTCTTTTTTTCCTGTCCCCCTTCCCTCCCTTTACCCCCTCTGTATTGTTTTTGTAGCCTCATTAGTTTAAAAAGTACTTGGGAATTATTTGATAAAGAAAGAGTCATTTAATATTCAGGATCAAGACCCTAAATCTATAAAGTTTTTTTAAATAAATGTCTAAAATAGTATCTACCTAGATGTCCCAAAGCCCAAAAACACACAGGATTTAATTCTACTTTGAAAAATATGCAGATTTGGACCCTAATAATTTTATTTACCAAAAAAAAAAAAAAAAGAAAAGAAAAATACCATCTTGTTTTGTTAAAATGTGAGTGACTATACTACCACAAATCTATGAAAAGCACAAAACAACCCAATGAAAAACGTGGACCCTTATTTCAGTAGGCAGCTCACAGAAAAGATGATAGAGTGAGCCTCCAGAAAAGTGCTAATGTTTGGTCATCTTCAGAGAAATGTAAATTCGAATCACAGTGGTTTGTCCTTTCATAACCATGAAAGTAGCAAAACTTTAAAAATGTAGTGAAACCAAATTCTGACAAGGATATACAGCAGCGGCAACTTTGAAGTTTGCTATGAAAATGTAAGATACAGGCACTGTGGCACATAGTTGAATTGTCAACTTTAAAATGTACATATTTTAAAACCCAGAAATTCCATCACTTAGTGATGTGCTATAAAAAAATTCTTGTTCATCTTCACTTAGAAGCATTATATGAGGATGTTCATTTCAACATCATTTCTGATGGCAAAAATGAAAAGCCAACCAAGAAACCTGGAAACAAGGTGAATGTGTCTTCACCAATATTATAGTGTGTCCTTTGGTGAGACACTATGCAATAGTTAAAAGCAAGAAAGTAGAGAATATATGTGGGTTAAAAAAAAATTCAAGCTTATAAGTCATGTTTATACAAATTTCAAAATCTGCCGAACATACTCTTTTCATGATTACATACCTTAGTATAGAAATAGCCCAGCAAAGGATGAACTAAATAGGTACATACAGGGAGTTTCAGCTTATTTGCAATATTTTATTTATTAAAATGGGTATAGATATATGAGTGCTTTTAAATATCATTCAGGATAACTTTTTGAGTATCCAAAATATTTTTTTAGGGGCCGGGGAGATGGCTCAGTTAGAATAAATACTCTCCTGGCAAGCGCAAGAGCCTGAGTTCAATCCCTGGTTCTGCAAAAAAAAAAAAAAAAAAAAGAAAGAAAGAAATAAAAATTTGAGGCCAGATTGAGCTGGTTAGATCAAAGCCAGCTTGAGCTACAATGACCCTGCTTTACAAAAAAAAATAATAATTTAAAGTACATCATATTTTTTCTTTTTTCAAAGTTTTCTAATCACCAAACATCTTTTGCTTAAAAATTCTATTAATTAAAATGTTGCAGTAAATACACAAGAAAACAATTTTGAAAGAAATAAAAACTATTGACCTGACATGTCTTGATCAGCGGCAGCTGTCAAAACAAAGTACTATAAAAAAATGACATAAGTGGCAGGTGTTTTATTTGCTCACGGTTCTGGAGGCTGTGTGTCCCATATCAGGGTGCAGCAGGGTCAGAGTCTGGTGAGGGCTTTCCTTGGGGTGCAGACAGCTGCCTTCTTGCCTTGGACTTGCCTGGCCTTTCCTTGGTGCATGCATGCAGGAGATCAGAAATCTCTAATCCTATCAGATTGGCACTCCCACTGGTAGGACCTCATTTAGCCTTAGTTACTCCCTCTGCTTCCAGGGAAACTACACGAGGGGCGAGAGACTTTCATCCATCCTGTGATTTACAGTCGGCCGGGGGAAAATAACAGATGACTAAGAAACTTTGTCTAAAAGCTCCCTGAAGCATTTTCATGGATTTCCAGCATTTTCAGTGTGCAGAGGATAGGTCTGGAGATTTGGATTCCTTTCTGACGTCACAAAATGTGTTTCTTGCCCTTTTCTACTTGCACTTTTCTGAGACTTCTATGAAGGTTTTGTTTTGTTATTTGAGAATGAACTTGTCCTCTTTCATTCACAGTCCACCACTCTGCTTGCTTAGCTTTACACTCGTGTACTCTACTTTGTATTTTTTATTATTTTTCTCTGTTTTGATGGTTTTACGCTCGGAATTTTTGTCCTTGGTTGGCTTTTAAGTTGTACACTAACATAGAAGCCTTTAAGGTATCATTAGTGACTTAAAATTTCTGGATCTATTTTTTGAACTTACATTGGCAGTATCTGTTTTAGTGTCTGGAATTCATTTTCTGGATGGCATTTAAAATTATTGTCTTCATTTTATGCATACTTCTGGTAATAGGAATAACATGTTAGAAGACAACACATTTTATTAAGTGAAATGCTATATCACTTTAAATTTGTGTTTTAATACTAACTGTACTCTTTAAGAAATACATAAATATTTAAAAATAAAAAATATACAGGGCCAGCTAAATAACTCAGCAGATTAAAGTGCCTGCAAGCAGGCTCAGGGGCTGGGGATTTGAGCCCCAGGCCTGCTGTGCTGACCCCACCCTCCTCGGGGCACACTGAGACAGCATTTGAGACTGGGCATGGTATGTGTATCTGTAGTCCCAGCTCTTGGGAGGCTGTAAGCAGGCGGATCACTACAAATCAATCTAGTAGTGAGACTCTGAACACCTTGTAAACCCTTCCCTTTTAAAATACAAAAAAAAAATATATATATATTTACAACCTAAAATTATGTTTGTTATATAAGACATATTTATCACCTATTTTAATTAGTTCCTTGCCTTTCTCCTTTTATTTCTTATTGTACATAAGAAATTTATACTCCAGAATTGGGATAATTTGTATGTGAATGTGAGATTGTCAACAATCATACAATTTACAAATGCATGAGAGCTCCATTGTCTTTGTTTCCAGAACATTTTCAAGTGCTATGAGAGGCTTTGGTAACATATTTTTTTAAAGAGCTCATTGCTAAAACATGTAAATGGTTCCCCTAGAATGGGAATCTCTTGACAGGACCAGTCATGTCCTGTTGGCATGTAGTGCCTGTCACTGACAGTGAATACTTTGGCCTAATGAGAATGAAGGACTTGAGAACCTCTGTGCTTTGGAGGGGAAAGTCCTATATTTTCTAGAAAAACAATCCGATAAGTTTCAGACAAGTATTTCTTTGCAGCATGGCTCACCTCAAGAAAGGAGAAGGTTTGGCAGATAGACGCACATTCACTGTGACAGAGAAACAAACCACAGCATTGCTGGGGGGACATGGATGGGAGAGGCCAGGCATTGAGGCACTCAGGGTGGCCCTTCACTGCTCTGCTGGTGACTCGGCTGCCAGGGTTTCTCTTGGGTGCCTGGTGCCAACCCAGTGAACAGGGCCTGTTAGGGAAGCTGGCCTTGCTTGCCCATCCTGGGGAGGAATCTTCCAGCACCGGCATGGGAAGGTCAGAATGATGTAGAGCAGGGGCACACTAGATTATGGGATGAATTGCAGCCATGCAGCATAAGCAGATGTTAAAAAGCACTGTGCATTTGCTTTATTGATTATTTTCTGCCCACTAAATGACTGAGTGATTTCCTGCAGGAGGAACAGCTGAAATCTCATGAAAGCAAACTGAAGCAGATTACCACCGAGCTGGCTGAGCACCGCTCCTATCCCCCAGACAAGAAAGTTAAAGCCAAGGATGTGGACGAATACAAGCTCAAAGATCACTATCTGGAGTTTGAGGTATGTTGAAACTAAATATTTTATGCTTCCCCCTGAGGCCCAAGGTTGCCAGCAGCTACTGTGAGCATGAAGAGCCTGCCTTGGCCCTGGCTCTGATTGGGAAGCCTCTAGCCTGCTGTTGATTCTGGTCATCCCATGTGCTTGTGATTCTATTTCAGTGCCAAATAAACATCAAACGGCCTCTGCAGGTTTATGCACTTGAAAGCAAGTAAGTAGTCTGCCTATTTAAAGTAGTGTGCACCTGCCATGAGGTTCAAAAATAATTTTTTTTAAAAAGGTGACTAACAGAGGGATTTGCAGCCTGGAGCATGGCTGTGTGTGTGTGTCCCTGTGCGTCCTCTAGCAGGGTCTGAGTCCACAAAAGGAAAGGCGATACAGGGTAAGAGGAAGCGTCCCCTTCGCCTACACATTCTTGCTGTTGGGCAACGCCAGTATATTTTTCTTCTTCCCGCTCACTGTCCTTCACAGGTATTGACACGTTAACTTGAGGCACATTCCTATACTCTACTGAGTGTGGCTGCTAGGAAGGGGTAGGGCTCATATGCTATGGTATGAAGCAACAGAAAATTCAAAAGCAAATGGGAAGCAGAATGTTTCTTTTGGCTATTTCCCCCCAGATTAGGTCAGGATCCTTCGACCTCCCTCTTAGCCACTATCTTCAGACGTTCGAGTGTCTCTCTTAGAAGAAAATGAGGGGAGGGCATACATTTCCTATGCTGAGAGTATTGAACTTATCTATGGGTACTGGTTTGTACTCATTGCAGCTCTTTTATTTCCCATGTTACCATCCTGTTTTCTCCTGGGGCCTGAAGCCAGAACCATCCAAGCAGCCAGCCCCTGACCTGCCTCTGTTGTCTCACTCCTGTGCTTTTCCTGCCCAGCTGTGGCTCCTACACTTCCTTTGCTCCAGCCTTGGCTTCCCCATCTCCTACTTGAACCTGGCTCCTGGCTCCTGCCATCTCTCCTATCCCAGATCATCCTACACCCTTTTCCACCTGTTCTGCTGAGACTCGATCCAGAGTATAGCAGTACTTGGTTTGACAGCTGTCTCGGATGTCCCCCACCTAACCTACCTCCCTTCCCCCGTTTACCTTCTGAAGAAAGTCCCAGGCCTGAAGCTAAGAGCAGCAGGCTCCTTCCAGGCTCCTTCCACCCCTCATCATAGTCAGTCTTCCCCAGAATGGCCGCTGCATGGTGTTAGTTACGTTTCTGCCCATCCTGCTCCCCCAACACACCTCTGCACTTTTCTCAGCCACCTTCTTCTGCCTCATGTATTCTTCCTAACATTTTTATTTGCAAGTGCTGCTCCCTTTGCAAGGCACAACCCAGATCCCTGCTGTTGACCCAGTAGTGGGACCGCCACTACCATACAGCTTGTAACAGTGTGCTTTCTGCTATGTTAGTCTTGGTGTCTGTGCAGGATTCCACATCCCCCTGAGCAGGAGTGCGAGCACCAGGAGGGCAGGAATGTCAAGGTCATTTCCAGCCTGTGCACCTTGTGCTACCATATATGCTTGCTTGGTCAGGATTGCAGAGGCCTTAAAAAGTTACTTCTTGAGTTGTAAGATTTCCCTTATTGAATGTAGTATTAGGTTTAAAAGATGGTCCTTCCACTGAACATCCCCCTATTGGATTTCTCCATGGTTGAGCAAGTCTTGCTGTGGTCTGTTGACTACACCAAGAGTCAAAGCCAAAGTAAGTTAAAAACTATGCAGTCCATACTAGCAAAAGACTTGAAAATAACTCTAAAAAGAAGCAAACAATAACAAAAAATGAAGCAGCTCCTCATGTCCTGGGCTGATTCATGCTTAGAAATGGGAATTCTCAACAAACAATCATTTGTCACATTTCTGGAGCAGATTTAAAATGTAGCCTGTTTTGTTTCACACATTCTAATTAAATTTTCCAATATCTCAGGCCCCTGCTTTCAGCACTCAACAACTTACTTTGAGCCCTGGACTGTAAAGGAAAAGAGCCTGTCCCAGGAGGTGGGGACAGCTGCCAGACCATGGAGAGGTGCCAGTGCGTGGTGCATGCCCCTGCTTTTGAATTTCCCATGATGTCCTTTTTCTAAAAATGTAACCCAGCTAGAGTCAGCATTTTCATTTTCTGATGTGAGGTTGACCCAGCTCTGAGGAGTTATCTTGCCTTCATCAAATTGTCTCCTCAAGGACCATGAAGATTGCATTCCAAAATCTTCAGCTTAAAAATCGGACTCATGTTAGTAAGTTGAGCACATTATATTGTCTACCCTGCTGCATTAACCCCGGAATGTAGAAGGTGCCTCATTCTGTACACATTATCTAAAAAGACTTTTGTAAAAGGAATTTTTTTAAGAAGTGAGTCATTATATTTCAAAAACTTAAATGAAAAGTGAAGTAAGGTGTCAGAGAGAGTCTACCTTGCTGTGATTTCAGCCTCTAGAACTAGCCTCCTGTGAGTGCTTGTGGAGGCCCCAGCATAGTGTCCTCTGCTTTGTGAGCACCTTGCTCTGAGCAGGTCACCTTCATCCCCAAATAGGGAGCCAGAGCTGTTGGCCATTTGTGTAGAAGTCCACAGTTCTGGCCCAGATCCCAGAGTATGTATCTGCTGAGTGACTTAACGAAACTTTATCATCGTGCATGAAAGATAGTGGAGGAAGTAATTCTCTGAGAAAGCTCAGTATTTGGTTATTGTTACTGGGGTATAGCTATTTCCATGCCCCCATGAAAGCAGATCTGGTAGGTGGTGCTATCTGGGTGGGTGGGAGCCCCCAAGTGGGCGGAGATAGGGCAAGGGGTGAAAGTGCAGGCTCTGGATCTGTCTTCTCACCTGCTCCTCGCTAGGTCATCACCAAGAGACTCCTCTGGTTTCAGAGCAATTCTTATTTTCACAAGGCTTGGTGAGGAAAAACACTTACTTTGGCAGAATGTTGCACTGTTAGTGATACCAGGAATTGTTCCTAAGTTTATGCGTTTGTTTATATCACAAGTTGCTTTGAGTGCAAACAATTAATAACAAGCCAGATTCACAGCTCTTACTATGCTGCAGACATTCTCAAAACCCTCACTTATGGTAAATAAAGAAATTCTGGTAACTACGTAATTCAAAACTTAAATGCACAGAGAGACTTAGCAGGCTTCCACCTTAGCCTGTTGGAAAAGGATGCATTTTTACTTAAAGCAGAAAACTTCACTCCAAGTGAGCTGTAATTGACTAAACCTGTATTCCTCTTGCCTTTGCCACTTAGTTGTAGCGAAGAGTTAGTGGTTTTATCTTGGATTCACTTAGTATCCTTGGGTTGCTGCTATCTCATCCTTATAAGAATTTGGAGTCTGATCTTAATACTAAAAGACTGGTTAATTTCAATTTCATGAAATTTCAATTTTGTTAGAGAAATAGTCTCATAACCTTATACATTAATTTATACTTCAGTTCATTTTAAAAGTATTTTCATTGATTTCCTTGGTTCTGGTACATGAGGAATTTATGATTTGTATCACATAGAATAAAAATTCACTCAGCTTCCACCAAGCAAAGTACAGCACGTGACAGTATCCTGGGAACCACCTGAAGAAACAAGCATTGCAGAAATTCCCCGAATAGAATAATCATCGTTGGCCCCCAAATGCTGGCATTTTGTTTCACAGCTTTAAAACTACTAGCAATTGAAAGTGAAGGTGCTGTTTCTTACAAGGTATTCTCTTCATGTAACATTTAAAATGTGTGCAGTTAGTGGGGCATAATCCCAGCATTAAGAAGCTGAATCAGGAAGATTGCCGTGAGCTTGAGGCCAGTCTGGGCTACACAGTGAGTTTAAGGCCAACGTGAACTGCACGGTGAGACCCTGTCTCAAGAAAAAAAGGTAAAATAAATGTGTGCAGTAGGTTGAGTAATTAATCCTTCTGTTGAGCCTAGGCCTGAGTGGAGAGAGAGAAAGAGGAGATGTAGAAGCCCAAACGTACTAAAAACATGAAGAGGGTATACACAGCAGTTATTAAAAGTCAGGTTTCAGGCTGCCCAGATAGCTCAGTGGGCTAAAGTGTCTGCTTAGGTAAAGCACAGGGGCTGGATTCGATCTCCAACTTGCTGTGCTGGCCCCACCCCCAGGGTGTGCTGAGATGGCATTTGAGACTGGACATTGTGGCACACACCTGTAATTCCATCACTTGGGAGGCTGAAAACAGGAGGATCACTAGGACTCTGATCTCTATAATGAGACCTTTTAGACCCTGTAGACCCTGTCCTAAATACATTAAATAAATAAATAAATAAATGTATGTCAGGTTCCCAGCTAGCTCCCAAAAGTCTCCACAGGACCAGCTGGAAATGTGGCCAAGATGCTGTGCATGAATTGTTTGTGACACCAGGCCTCTCGTCAGTGTCAGCCATTCATCTGGATGAGTGACAGCCATTGCTTGACCAATTTGCTCTCTGTGAAAGCCTGAGAGAATGTTTTCTCTCTAGGTGACTCTCCTTAGGCACACTCTACATTGTCGATCACTTTCCTCTGTGGCTAAATAATCTCATTGAACAGGAAATTTGGGACACCACTGAGTTACAGGACGTTACAGTACACATTCTCTTATGTCCTGAGTCTTCATTGACCTGGAAGGGCTAGGACCAAAATGTTGGCTATCCTTGTAGTCCTTCTTTTCTCTAATTTTTTGGTCTGCAAACTTAAGTTGTTAACTCTCCAGAAGAGAAGCTTAATGATATTATTACCCTACAACAAGGCAGTTGAGCTGTACCTCACTATCTGGCTGAATATCAAACAACTTAGACATAACATGGAAAAGATATTTTCCAACCATTGTTGATATGCTAAACTTTAAATCCCTATAGAATGTGAAAAAACTAAAAAATAAAAAAATTACATGTGTTTACACAGAAACTTACAAATCTAACCATATACAACATGTGGAAGGACAGTCCTATGACATTTTTTCTTGTCTCTTATTTTCTTTTATTACCTTTTTTAAACAAACATTTATTTGAGAGTATAGCATTAATTGATATGA